CTCCTCATTAGTTTCAATTTAAAAAATTATGTTTCTATTGAGGTTTTGTGTATTTCATGTAATAGATCTTACTCAAATTTATATCCCTTCCCCACCCATCCTCTGTACCCCCCCCCCACTGGATTTCATGCATTCTGTCATATATATTAAGTCCTTTTCGGTCAAGCATTTGTACCGGATGTCCTTCAAGTTCATCCACTGGAGTCTAGTCAGCCTATCTAGAGTCTTTCCCTTAAAGAATATCTACTCTCCCTCACCCAGCAGTAATCATTTGCTAATAGTTCCTGGGCTAGGGTTGGTGCCTACTGCCCATTTCCCTCCTTCTATGCTGGGTTTTTGTCTGATTGAGTCAGTATGGGTCTTGTGTATGCTGTCACCGTTGTTGCAAGTTCATATGAGCAAGCTCCCAGAGGACTGAAAGCCTCTGTTTCCAAAGATTTGTATAAGAGTACAAAATTCAAGTTACTTTTCAGGGCATAGTATTAGGCTGCAAAGAAATACTGTTTGCCATGGATCACAGTGGGCTATGTGCTCAGCCTCATGGAGAAGGAGCTGGGCTATTCCTTGGCTTTTAAAGGAACTTTGAGAATATTTGAAAGGCATATCAGCAAGCTGCTCTTGTGTGGAATACAGGCTATACAGACTATGAGACCAGCTGCCTGTGGATGAAAGAGTTTATGTTGTTCCTGGATAAAGTAGATGTTTTACAGTTCTGCTCTTGACTGGAATTCTCTTCTGCACATTTGTGTGGGCATAAATGGGCTTGCAAAGGGGAGTTAAGTTATTGAAGTCCTTTCCATGAATGCATTTATGAAATGCTTGGGAATGAAGGCTTCTTTGTAAGTCTGATAATGTACTTCAGTCCTTGTTAAGCTGGAACAAAAGACATCGGAACTCCTGTTTCCCATCCCACTTGTGCTCATGGGATCCCAAACTTGGGGCTGTGTGATGAGGGAATCCTGGTCAGTGGGATGAGCTAAATGAGCTCAGTGTGTTCTTCTCTCCTTCAGAGGTGAGGCCACCCCAGGAAGACAAGTTCCCACAAGAAAATACAGGAGATCTTACCATGCCACTTCCTGAAGAGCCTGTGACAAGGGACATGGCTGCCTCAGAGGTGTCACAGAAGCCAAATACTGACAATGACATAGACCCAGGTAAAGACTGATAATTGTTCTCTACAAAACAGAGACATGATATAAAGAAGGCCTGCTGGGACATTCATTTTCAAAGAAAGGTAGGATGGAGAGGTGAGAACAACCAGATACAAATTTAAAAAAAAAATCCTACAAGCAACAGAGAAAAGAAAGGGTTAAGATGCTAAGATGTGGGGACTCAAGAAATAGCTCAGCAGTTCAAGGGCACTAGCTACTCCTTCAGAGGACCCAGGTTTGGTCCCCAGTACCCACACATGGTAGCTCACAACCATCTTTACTGCCATTTTCATGGGGTCTTGACACCCTCTTCTGACTTCTGTGAGTACCAAGCACACATGGTGCACATATATACATGTAGACAAATACTCAGACACATTAAAGAAAAAGATGCCTAGAGATAAAAAATAGGAAAGAGGCCAGGGATTGTCACTAACCTACAGACCATAGTTTGACTGGGACTAGCTGGTATAAATCATTTCAATTAACTGAAATATTGTCCTTCAAAGGCCATATCCTCTAAAGCAGAGCTTTCAGCTCAACCAACAGCATATGAAATGCTGGGCTGAGACAGCACTCTTATTAAATAAACCCTGAGGAAAAGCTGCTGGGCACCAGGTAGAGCTTCAGAGCTGTGCTTCAGAGCTCACAGATTGTGCTGTTGTCCCCTGAATGACTACAGTGGAGTTCGATTGGTTTGTTTTGGTTTTTTTTGAGACAGAGTCTCCATGTAGCCCCAGCTGGCCTGGAACTCACTATGGAGGCCAGGCTGGCCTCAATCTCGCAGAGATCCCCCTGCCTCTGCCTTCTGAGTGCTGGGATTAAAGGGGTGCATGACCATGCCCAACTCTCAATTGCTTTTTTTTTGTTATCATTTTTATGTGTATGAGAGTATTGCCTGCATGTGTGAAAGTGCACCTGTGTCTTGCAGTGCCCTCGGAGGTCAGAAGAGGGCGTCAAATCCCCTGGAACTGGAGTTACAAATGGTTCCTAGCTGTCATGTGGGAATTGAGCCCTGGGTCCTGTGCAAGGCTGCTCTTAACTACCATTTCTCCAACTCAATTGCTTTTTTGATTTGCTGCCACCACATGGCAAATAAAACGTAAGATGCATTGAAGGGGTCCAAGTAGTTTTCTATGACATGCTTTTTCGAAATGATACAGAAATGGCAGTCCATACCACACTGATATTTGTGGATAATATTTGATCACACCACACAGAAAACATCGGTAAGAGATGAAAAGTTAAACAAACCCTAATCTCCAATAATATAGGTAGCCCTGGCTCAAGGAGATCCCCTTGCCTCTGCCCCCCACGACTATAATAAAGGTGTGCAACACCATAGCCCACCAACAATTTTCTAATTGTTATGTAGCTCATTCGTTTCACTGGTACATTAGAAAAAACTTTAACAGCATTACTTTACCCATCCAGTATGGTGGCCATTACTGTTTTGGGGATTTGGGTTTTTTCACAGTGCTGGGGATCGAACCCAGGCAGGGCCTCCTGCACACTACACTAGCACACTCCCACTGGATTCCACTCCCAATCCTGTTGTGTATGGGGTGTGCGTGTGTGTGCACACGCGTGTGTGTGCACTATAGCATTGGTGTAACACTGAAAGACTTGGTGTCACTTCATTAACATTTCCCCTGGTCCCCAGATGCCAACACACAAGATGTAGGAAAAGTCACAGCATAGAGAAGTTATGCTAAGTTGAGAGGAACAGTAGATATACCATGGGTTCTCCCATGTTCCAGAGAATATTGTATTCACTTATGATACCTTCTGAATTCTGTTTACTTCAGAAAGGTCATGTTCACTAAAGCTAAGCCATGTACCATTAAGATTCCTTACTTTTTGCTCAAAAACTTTCAGGATGGGGAACACTTTGTTTGTTTACAGAATTCCAAACAAACCCTTGGCTTTTAGGGTCTACCATGAAATGAAACCTGCTTACTTTTAGAGGCAAGTCTTTCCGAATGTCGCAGCTGGCATCTCAGGTGCTGGGATGCTGACCTGACTGGGAAAACCTTACCAGTCATCAGAGTCACAGATCAGTAGTGAATGGAGTTGGGAGGGCAGCTAGTCCGGCCTCTCACTAATTGAATGTTGGACAGAACATGCCCAGGCTCACGTAACTCGGGCTGAAATCCCACCCCACCTCCTTGTATGGAAACTCAGGTAGAAATGGAACTCTCTCTTTCACAGAGCTTCCATGGGAGTTTCCTGCTCTGCAAGCAATTCTTTTTCATCTTTATTGGCATTTACCATATTTTATGTAGCTGTCACCTGCCCATTCAGTAAAATAATTAGTAAGTGCCTACCATGTGCCACATGCAAACCCACAGTGTATTCTATCTGTGAGACTTTTTTTTTACATTTGTATTTACTGTGTGTGCACAAGCTTATGTGCCATGGTACAATGTGAAGGTCAGAGACCAACTTGGGGGAGTCAGTTCTCTCCTTCTACCATATAGCTTCCAGGGATCAGACTCAGGTCATCAGGCTTGGTGGCAAGAGCCCTTACTCACTGAGCTATCTTGCTGGCCCCTGAGACTCGTTCTTTTTCAACTTTCCTGAAGTTTCTAATCCACTGATTTGCCAGCACCAAATTAGCTTGCTGAATATGACAGTGTTTATATGGTTTTTGTTTTGTTTATATGTTCTTTGAGACAGGATCTCACTATGTACTCTTCGTTGGCCTGGAACTCACTATGAAGACCAGACTGGCCTGGGATTTGTTATGTACGGACCTCAAACTCACAGAGATCTGCCTGCCTCTGCCTCCCGATTGCTGGGATTAAAGGTGTTTGTCACCATGCCCAGAAACTGTGTCTATATGGTGAAAGCATAAAATTCTGGGTTTTGTTTCTTTCCAATTCCCTTGAGTAAATCTTACTCTCAAAGCACTTGGATGGGCAGAAATGTGATGGAATCGAGGTGTGTTAATTTTATAATCCAAGGGTCTGACGGTTCTGATTAAAATCCTGGAGGGGTTTTTCTTTTCTCTGTGTAATTTTCTTTTCTTTTTCCTCTGTCTTACTGAGACAGGGTCTCCCTGTAGCCCCAGCTAGCCTGGAACTTGCTATGTAGACCAGGCTGGTCTTGAATTCACAGAGATCCACCTGCCTCTGCCTCCTGAGAGCTGGGATTAAAGGCATGCACCACCATGCCTGGCTGTGTAATTTTCTTTAGGGGAAATCTCATACTTTAGGCCCATTAACTAATAGAGTACACTCGATGAACATTTAAATAGAAAAAACACAATTCTTATTCTAAAGCATAACATAAACTGATACCCATTTCCCTCCTTTCTCTAAGGTCTGCTTGTAACTGAAAGTTCTCCTGTTGGTGCTGCCGATGACCAAAAGCAGCAAGAGATGCGTGGAGAGGAGCCAGCAAATGCCCCACCAGTGAAAGATGCAATGGGTTTGCTGCATTCATTCACTCTTTATTTAAGTAAGATGGTAAGTCTGATAGAGTTTCTTGAGCTAGAATGTTGATTACTACAGGCATGTTTGGGGGTAAGCCAGTGTGAGGGAAGATTAAGAACAGGGTCTTACATAGCCCAGGCAGGCCTCAAACTCACTATGTAGCCAAGGCTGGCTTTGAATGCCTGAACATCCTGCCTCCACCTCTGTAGTGCTGGGAATATAGACATGTACCACCATATCTGGCTTGATTTCCTAAGTTGTTAAGTGGAATCAGAGTAAAGGATTTAAAATGACTTTATCAGCACAACTTCTGAAACTCTGAAGGTGACTCCTGAAACGAGCCACAGGGATGGTTTTAATTAGGCATTCTTCGTTTAGTACTTGAGGGTTTGCTGGCTGGACACGTGCACATGGCTAAAGTATGGTTTTTCCCTCAGGACCTTTCAGTCCCCCTGGGAGCTGAAGTTCACTTGAAACATAGTAAGATTTGTGCAGAAAGATCAGGATTTATTTGATAGTAGGGTGGTGTATTCCATTAACTGTTTTAAGCAGAATCATGGGACTCTCAAGTACAGTTTGTTGTTGAATAGAAGGGATTGGGGAATGTAATGGGGATAACAGGGACAGAAAAGATAGCACATTCAGAGAAAGGGAGGCATGAAGAGAAGGTGATGTGAGCAGACCACAGAAACTGAGTAGCTGGGTGACGTATGGAATTAGAGGGCAATGGATGGTGTGTGGGGTAAACTGTGAAGGAAGCATGTGCTATGAGGTGTCAGTGTTGGGGATCCTGTGATGTTTGAAACAGGAAAGCGAGTGGTCAGATCTATTTCTTAGAAAGAGCCCCGGTGTCAAAATATTTATTCAGGCCAAACTCTCTGAAGAGTCAAGTGAGATGTTTAACTGGCCTCCAGAAGCCTATCTTTGGCTTTTTAGGACCTAGCCCCGCCTTTTGGTGTGTGTTGATATTGGATTTTTTTCTGGGTGACTTGTAGGAACAAGGCTGGCAACCAGGGAGATGCCTGGACTGCAGAGGTGTGGTCCTCATCAAAGCAGGCTCCTGTAGGTTCTGTTATTTGAAAGCTTATGTAGGAAAAAAGGAATTGTTATTGGTGTCTTTTGTAAACACATTTTGAGTCAGGGTGATTTATATATATTTTCAAATCCTAATGTTATTTAAAAGTTTGTGAAAATTGCTAAACTTATTCATTGAAACACATTTGTACATCTTTATGGTGTATATTACGGTAATTTGAAACGTGAACATTATATAATAACTAAATCAAGATAATAAGCATTTCCATCCCTTCAAATGCTGATCATATTTATGTCAGAAATTGTGTATTCTTCTAATCATATAAAATTTATCTATTATTTATTTGTGTGTGCATAAGCCAGAGGACCACACAGTGTTTCAAGATGCTGACTCAAAGCACATGCTCCAAAAAGCATTTTTAATGGCTAATTATACACAGGGCATCCTGCTAGGAATCAAAGAGTCCAAGGTGGTGGCCAGTGGAGGGGAGTAGGGGGTAAAGGCATTTGGCCACCAAATCAGACTACCTGAGTTCAATTCCCAGGTTCCACATTGTGAAAGGAGAAAATTGATGCCTGCAAGTTGTCCTCTGACCTCCACATGTGTGCCATCGCATGGCCATGTGCCATATACACACACAAATAAAAATGTAATTAAGAAAGATTCTAAGATGGGTCAAACATAATTTTGATTTTTGAAACACTTATGAATTGGGTTTCTATGTGAAAACAGAGGAAATAGAGACCATCTGAACTAGTCCACACCAAATTCCACAGTTAGCTGGGGAAGTGGGTACTGCCTTGACTGGGGACTGCACCAGAGGTCAGCTTCATGAAGCAACTGCTGACTGATGCTTAGAATCTTCCAATTAGAAGACACCCTGGAAGACGACTGTCCTGGTGTATCACTAATTTCAGTGATTTCCTGACAAGCCATTATGAGGCCTGTGTACCAGCAATTCTTTTCTTGTTGTTGTTTGAATTTTTTGATTTATTTTTATTTTATGTGTACGAGTGTTATGTCTGCATGTATGTCAGTGTACCTGTGTCATGTAATACCCATAGAGGACAGAAGAGGGTGTCTGATCTCCTGGAAGTGGAGCTACAGATGGTTGTTAGCTGCCACATGGGTGCTGGGAATCAAACCTGGGTCCTCTGCAAGAACAGCCAGTACTCTTACCCGCTGAACCTTCTCTCCAGCCCTGTCAAGATTTCTCTTAACACTCAGTGTTGTTAGCCTGAAATTTTGGCATCCTGATGGGTATGTCTTGAATTCTGTCCTGATGAATAATTATATGAACATTTTCTTTCATGTGCTGATTGACCATGCTTTTTTTGCATGTCATTTCCTCTGGCTACATAAGGTAAAATTGTCTCCCAACAGTGTCGCTCTGGAAATTGCTCATACTGAAGTCAATCTTTTCTCCTTTAGCTGTTCTTAAAGAATCCTTCAGGACTCTCACACTGCACAGATACTGCCTAGAATGTAGAAGATTTTGTAGATTTCTAGAGCTTTTTCTTTGCAGAACCCATTTTTCTGGTACTTTCCCCATACTTATTTTAGGAAGCTCAGTCTCCTGGAACTCTGATCTCTGCCATCTCAGTGACATGGGGTGTCCTAAGATAGGTCCCCCTCCTTGCACTGAGGTCAAGAAAGCCCCTCCAGGTAGGATGCTCACCTGTTTGCATCTCTGAAAATTTTTTTCAGATTTTTAATATTTTTGGTCTAGTTTCTTTCAGTGGAAATACAAGTTTCATACCAGTTACCAGATTTCTTTTATCTAGGAGTTATTATGTTAGATAACTAAATCTATTTAGTTTTTAATCCAATCAATATAGTAATTATTTTTATAGATGCTCATTTTTCCCATCTTGTTTAATATCCTAGCTATATACAATTACTATTATCCTACTGTATACAATTAGTATTCTTGCTGGTGGTGTTTTGAGACAGGGTCTTACTCTGTAGCCCAAGGTCACTCAGAACTTTGTAGCTCAGTCTACCCTCTAAAGATGGCGTGTCTGTGTTGGAGTATGTGCATGTGAGTGCAGTTGCCTTCAGAGACTAGAGGAAGGCATCAGATCCCATGGAGCTAGAATTATAGGTGGTTGTGAACTACCAACATGGCTGCAGGGAACTGAACTGTCTGTCAGGAATAGCAAGTGCTGTTAACCACTGAGCCGTCTCTCAAGCCCCTTATTTTCTAAAATTTCCTTCATATTTTTTTTGTTCAACAGGTTTCTTATTAATAGACATTTTTGTTATAAATAATGGTGGAGTAACATAATTTTGTAGACATAGCTTGTCAGTATGTGTTGTATTCTGAGTCTTTTAGATCTTTAGAAGTGGGATTGCTGAGTCAGTAGTTATATATATGAGCAGTTTGAGAGGTGTTACTAAGTAACATAGGGGCTATATCATTTTCTATCAGGAATGAGGACAGGACCTTTCCCCTACATTTTTTCACCAACTAGGGATGCTGTCATTGTTTGGATCTGCCAGTATAAATAAGTCAGAAATGGTATCTTGTTGTAGGTTTCATGTATATTTCTTTCATTATGAACTTTCTGCATTTCTCTTCCTAAGAACTATTTCTTCAGCCTATTTTTTTGGTAGATGGGTTGGCTCTATTTATAAAGGACTTTAAATTTCAGAATTATTGCTTTTTTTTTTTTTTTTTTTTTTTTTTTTTTGTCTTTTTGAGACAGGGTTTCCCTGTAGCCCCCCAGTTGGCCTGGAACTTGCTTTGTAGATCAGGTTGGTCTTGGTCTCACAAAGATCCGCCTGCCTTTGTTTCCCAAGTGCTGGGATTAAAGGTGTGAGTGCGCCACCCTGCCTGGTTCAGAATTATTTCTTTTGTTGGTTTTCTGTCAAACCCCAAAGCCATTTTCCTGCCTGCCTCAACCCTCTACGTCCTCTTTCAGTGATGCGACGCTTCAGGGTTTTCTTTTCTGTCGTACAGCTATATTCCTGGGCTAGAATTGAGCCTGCCCTTGCCCAGTCATGGTGTCCTTTCATTGCTCTTCTTTTTCAAAGATTTTTCTTTTTGGTTCTCCTTTTGCAACTCAGGAGCTCACATTTAGTGATCTACATGTACACCCCAAGATTAAATGCCCCCATTGTGTTCTGTTACCCTTGTCCATTTCCATAAATCACCTAACCTTAAAAGGTGAGACCCAGAAATGGGGACACTGGTGTCTCAGCATATTGTGACCTAAATGACCCATTCTGGGAGGGCCTTAGAGACCTGGCTTTGTCCTTTTCTTGGTCCCACTCATAATCCCCCTCTAGATAGGGCGGTTGTCCCTAGTCCCTACAGCAGGTGAGCCTCCATCCCTTCCCAGTTTCACTCAAACTATCCACACAGCTCTGCGACCCCTTCGCTCCCTCATTTGGAATCTTCCGCTTCGCTCTGCAAGCACCCCTCTCACTTGGACTCTTCCTCTCTGCTCCTTCTCTGCGCTCTACCCCCGTCTCCCTCACTTGGACTCTTCCGCTCTGCTCTGTACTCCGCTCTCCACCATCCAACTTGGATTCGTCCTCTCCCCCCCGCCTCTCACTTGGACTCTTCCTCCCTGTACTCTCCCCCTGCTTCCCTCACTTGGACTATTCTACACTGGCCCTGCCCTCGGCCACATACACATCGCCTTCGTCGTCGACCCCGCGCAGTTTCCGTAGGCGCTTTGAGGTCCTCGCCCGGCAGTGTCTGATGACGTGTTTCACTAGCGGCCTAGGGCGGAAGCTGCCGCGGCAGGCGAAGGCGAAGTTCGTTCCGAACGGCCGCCCGAGCGGGCTCTCCCGGAGGAGGAAGTCGGGGAGAGCGGGCCGAGGGCCGCCGCCCTCAGCCGCCCACGATGGACTCAGTGCCTGCCACTGTGCCTGCCGTCACCTCCCCGGGGGACCCCGAGCTGCTGGGATCGCTGTCCGTGCTCTACGCCGCTCTGCTAGCCAGGCTGCTGGAGGTGACAGCCCCAGTCCCGGGGGGACCCGCGGTGGCTGCGGACGGGTGCTGAGCCGAGAGCTGCTCGGGCCGACGGGGCCCGGGAGCAAGCCGGGCTGCCCAGGGAGGTCGCGCCCTGCGGCGTAGGCCACTCCGACGTCTCTGGCCCAGGCCTCGGCAGTAACCGGCACGATGCTTGGTCTACAGCAGCCACAAAACACAATTCCCTGCGGGGGCGGGGCAAGTGCGCAAAGGGCAGGTGTTTGCACTGCCTTGGAGGAAACTTTAAGTCGGATAGAAGACGTTTAGAGCACGACCTCTAAACCACCAGGAGCTGTCTGAACTTAGCACTTGACTTATGTAAGATAGAGCTAATATTTAAACCCTTAGAGGAATAATACATTGTCTTCGCCGTTATACTCGAACTGGTTTCATTTGCGCCCACAAAAGTTGGTTACTTGATATATTTAACGTTTCCGTGTTAGGTGGTTTGTTTTTTTTTGGTTTTTTTTTGTTTGTTTGTTTTTTGGTCTTTTTGAGATTCGGTCTCCCTGTAGTCACAGCTGGCCTGGATTCACTATGGAGACCAGGCTGGCCTTGAATTCACAGAGATCTACCCAACTTACCTAAAAGTATGATCCACGGGAATTCTAGCTGTATATTAGACAACACGATATGCATACACCCAGTTTACAGGTATTTATACGATACTTAAAAACACTACAAACAGATACAAGACTGTATTTCTTGAAGAAGGTTGCAGGAGTATAGCTGATGGGGTTTGGTTTGGAATTCCCATGATGAGTCTTTATGACTACTTTATTGTAAATTTCTCTCAGGTTTCCCATCATTTCTAATGTCTGTTTCAGCTCATTGCTACGTTGCCTGATGGCGTTCAGCCTGGCCCTGATTTCTATGGATTACCGTGGCAGCCTGTGGTCATCACTGCAGTCTTGGGAGCTGTTTCGTTTGCAGTTTTCTCCTGGAGAACTATTCTTGTTGTGAGTAATCTAAATTATCTTATCACTGACTCATACGGAGTATTTTGTAATCACTTGCCTCTTTAAGTGACTTGAACAGAAATTAATGTTATAATTCTAGCTAACCTTATAAAATAATGTAATCTTTGTGTTTGTTGATAAAGACTTAAGAGACCAAGGTAATGTTTATAATCTCAATGGGAAAACTTTGATTTGAAGACCCCTTATACCATTAGGTAAGTAAATATGTACCCTCTTGGTAGAATTGGGAATTGTTAAAGCTATCCTAAAAAGTAGTTTAATAATATGTATCAGAAGCCTTGAAGTCTTATGGAGTGAGACATACAAATATGTTCTTAAATATTGTTTAGTAATGTCCTTTACAAAAAAACAAATTATACATTAAAGATCTTACACAAGAGGGTTCAATGGGTCAGTCTTTATTTTTAACTATTCATTATTGTGTTTGTATGATGTGTGGGTGTGCCACAGAGGGTGTGTGGAGGTCAGAGGATAACTTTGTGAAACTGGATTTCTTCTATTTTTACTTGAGTTCTAGGGATTGAACAGCTGCCAGACTTGCTTCATCAGGTGCCAAGGGCCTTTGCCAGCTGAGCTCTCTTGCCAGCCCTGGAGCAGTATTTATTAGAGTGAAAACTTTCAACAACCTAATATATATCCATATAATGGGATTTTAGACAATTCAGAGACATTGAGACAGGAAATGCTCATGGTTTAATGTGTTGTGGAATGAAGCAAAACTGTGACATCAAGTGATGCTAAACTGCGTGTTACACAAACATGCATACACACTGCAAAGTAGTACAGCAAAATGCTAATGATGAAGCCTGTGTTGGTAGAAAAAAAATTAGTACAGCAAAGTGATAGAAATGGCAAGCAGACGAGATAATTTTTTCAGCCTTTTTTTAAAATTTATGGGTCTCTGTGTATGTCTCTGTGTGTGTGCGCGCACACACACACACACACACACACACACAAGTGCCTTCAGAGTCCAGAAGAGTACCAGATTCTCTGGGGCTGGAGTTACAGGTGGTTGTGAGCCACCCAATGCGGGTGCTGGGAACCAATGTCCCGCCTCCAGGAGCTGCAAGAGCTCTTGACTGTTGAGCCATCTCTCTAGCCCCGGTCTTTTTCTTCATATGCGTTTCCCAGATTTTCTGATTTGATCATAAGCTGTTGTGTTCAGAAATATCCTTCTTGTTTGGAGTTACATATTGTATGCTAGCCAAAGACACATTATTAAATTTGCATTCCTTTTTATTCCCCAAGGGGAATTTGTGTTTTAAACATGCATTCATCATTGAAACCTTGGTCCTTTCCCTAAGATATTTCCTCCTATTTATCTCTGCTACATAGTTTGGGTGAAAGGGGACAAGTGATGCTTGTTCTTATTGGCAGGGCTGTCACATCAGAGAAACAGTTACTGTTTTCCCCATGTTGAAGTTTTCTCAATGCATTTTCCTATAACATGATTATTATAAATGGTGTTTTAGATAGAAAATACTGAAATCCCATGGATAATTTATGGGTAGGTGTATCTCATCACCACTTTTTTAAAAAGTAGCATTTGAAAGGAGTCACAAACTCGCTGGGCTGGTGAGATAGCTCAGTGGGTAAAAGCGTCTGCAGCCAAGCCTGACAGTCTTGGTTCAATCCCTAGGACCCACATGGTGGAAGGAAAGAACCAATTCCTATAGTTTGTCCTCAGACCTCAACATTTGTGCCATGGCACATGTGCACCCATACACATGAACATACACACAGAAACACAAATAATTGTAAATTTTTGTTTTTATTTTGTTTTGGGTTTTGGGGGGGTGGTCTTTTTGAGACAGGTTCTCCCTGTAGCCCCAGCTGGCCTAGAACTCGCTATGTAGACCAGGATGGCCTTGAACTCACAGAGATCCACCCGCTTCCACCTCCAGAGTGCTGGGACTAAAGGCGTGTGCCACCACATCCAGCTAATAAGTGTAAAACATTTAAAAAATACTTAGTATGTTTTTTCTAAATTAGCTACTGCTTCAGCTGTATTGGTGTGGATTGTTGGCCTTCGAGCTGCTGGGGATTCTTGTCTTCACCTCCCATCTCACCATAGGAGCTCTGAGATTCCAGACATGCTACTGTGCTTGTGGGTTCTGAGGATTCATACTCAGGTCCTCATGCTTGCATGGCAAATTCTGTACCCACCACTGAGCCATTTCCTCAGCTCAACTAGGTTATTTCTAAATTCAGCTGGTAGACAACTTTGAATAGGATTTCTAGGATGGTTTTTGGGGAGTAAAAGATACAGATCTAAGTTCAAACATTATCCTTTACTTTTGTTTCCTAATAGTCTTTTTGAACATTTGCTTCTAGACTTTCTCTGTCTATTGGGAATTGTCAGATGATACTAAGTAAATAAAGCATTGATGTATTTATTACTAAGACAGTAGCCACTTCTGTTATTAAACATAAGTGCTCATGTCATAAGGTTGGTGTCTTTTATTAGGTACATAAACGTATCTTTAGCCACAAAACAAGGTACACACTTTAGTGTCTTTATCCATTGAAGCTATTTGTATGTTAGTACCAATTAAATTTGGAATGCTTTTTAACTTTGTCTTTTTTTTATTTTAAAATTTTATTTATTTATATATTGGAGGGTGGGGCATGTGTGCCATGGTGCACCTGTGGCGATCATAGGGCAACTTGTGGATTTTCTCCTTCTACCCTGTGGGTCCTGGAGATAGAACTCAGAATATCAGGCTTGGTGGCAAGCACCTTTACCTGTTGACCATTTCTCCTGCACAAACTTTGTTTTTTTTTAAACCTATAGTTATTATCCTGAACTCAGTTGTTACTAAATTTTCATTTGATTCTGACTCCAATATGCTTCTATTAATCAAAGTATTTGACAACAAACTTAATTTTATTTCTTTTCTTCTAGGTAAAGAGTAGAGTATATCAAGGTAAATCTTTAGACTTCTTTTGTTACTTGTACTAACCCTCCTTATCGGTGTTTGATGTGAGTTTTACGTGAGCTAGAAGTAGATACAGCGACTTCTGATGTCTGATTTATTAACTCTGGAAAAGTTTAGTATTTTAGGTCTCTGACTTAGATGACAGAATAGATGATGATACAATTGAGAAGGGAAATGAAGAGGAACAAACTGAGTAGGGAGAGCATGACTAGTTTAATTTGAGACAGATGCACTTTGAATGCAGATATGATGCAGATTTATCACATATGAACAATGATCTTGTGCCAGTACATTAAATCTTTATGTGAAGAATGGTGGAATACATGAGTGTGCTTGCATTTCTCCCCTCTTTGTGACTGACGTCTGATGTGACCCTGTTTTCTCAGAAGGAACAGTATCGAGCTTCCTTAAATTCTGAACCTCTAAAATGAATTTAAATTGGAATCTTACAGCAATACAACTTAATATATTTTTCTTGAATTTTAAAGTTCCTACATTCTTACTATAATTACTACAGACTGCCTTTAAGGGCATACTAGTTACACAAAGCATTTCTTTTCCCTCACAGTGCCAGACAGCCTGTCTTTGTTGCTAATACATTGGAATTCGGTTCATGTAGGGTAATAAACTTATAGGTTTCCCCTCTTTTTAGTCACAGAGAAGCAAATTTCTGAAAAGTTGGAGAATATCAAGAAAGAAAATGCAGAACTTGCACAAAAATTGTCAAATTATGAACAAAAGGTATAATTATTCTTTTAACCCCCCCAGTTCCAGTTTGAATATATTTCTATTTGCCTTACAGTTATGTTTATGATTTTTTAAAAATCATATGTTCTTATTTCATCACAAGCAGTCATTGTATTTATAAGTACTGCTCTCTGTAAAGGGTTACCCATTTGGCAATAAGTTTTGGTAACATAATTTGTAGTTAATTCCATTTTGTAGGTACTAATCCCAAACACTTTCTTTTATATAGATCAAGGAATCAAAGAAATATGTTCAAGAAACCAAGAAACAAAATGTGATTTTGTCTGATGAAGCTATTAAATACAAGGTAAAAATATCTTTGGTGGGGGGTGCTGGAGAGATGGCTCAGCAGTTAAGAACACTGTTCTTACAGAAGACCCGGGTTTGAATCCCAGCACCCACATGGCAGCTAACAACTGCCTGTAACTCCAGTTCCAGGGGCTCCAACAGCCTCTTCTGTCCTCCGTGGCATTGCACGACATGGGTGCACTTACTTACAACTTACTTACATGCAGGCATAATACTCAAACACATAAAAAATTTAAAAAAGCCAGGCGTGGTGGCGCACGCCTTTAATCCCAGCACTTGGGAGGCAGAGGGAGGTGGATCTTTTTGAGTTCGAGGCCAGCCTGGTCTACATAGCGAGTTCTAGGACAGCTGGAGCTACAGGGAGACCCTGTCTCAAGAAAACAAAAAAAAAAAAAAAATATCTTTGGGGTGAATTGCATTCTAGAAGCAAAAGTAAATGTCACAAGTAATTCTTACTAATCCTAATATTCATTTTGTTGGTTTTTGTTTGGTTGTGATTTTTGTAGGATAAAATCAAGACACTTGAAGAAACTAATGAAATTCTGGGTGACAAAGCCAAAAGTCTCCGCCTCCTGTTAGACTCTGAAAGAGAGCAGAATATCAAGAATCAGGACTTGGTAAGTTTAGCTGCTGACTGTTAGTGCAGCTGGGCTTTTGAACTGGTCTGTAGGTTAAGTAGAGCTTTTCCCATGATGCTAACTAACTAAAGCAAGAATAGGAATCAGTGAAGTTGATCCTATTTGGGTTCATCTTGTGGAATTTTGAGTTCTAATTCAACAAGTTAATCTTATGGGCATAGGAACAGTATTTTTGTTCTAGTTTTCCTATTGCTTGGTTCTGCCCCCAAAACAGGTAGAACAACTAAAGATGATTGCCTAATTGAACAGTACTTAATTTTGTCATTTAAAAGAAATTTTTTTTCAACACACTTATTTCAGTTTTATACAGAAGTCGCAAAGAGTTCCTGTGTATGTATCATATCCCCCAGCCCTTACCCCACCCCTGTTAAGCTTATCACCTAGCTAAGGTGGTACTTGCCAAATTTTTCTACTGTTAAAAGTCTTCTTTTTCAACTCTTTGTTTACCATATTCTTTGGAAGGAAGTCATTATATGTGGCCCACAGAGGGAAGGGTTGTATTCCACTTCCTTAAGGAGTGGTATTTTCATAAATTTTTGGAATTCATGTATATGAATTTTGTCTGTGCTCCTCTAAATTTTCAATTTAGGCCTTAGAAATCCTTTTCCCTGTACTGGGGATTTTTAGGACCTCACACAAGGTAAGCAAGTGTTTGGAGCAGTAGCCCCTCCTCAAATAGAAGAGTCTCACTAAGTTGCCAAGGCTGGCCTTGAACTCTCTCTGTATAGCCAACACAGGCCTTGAACTCATGATCCTTTTGCCTCAGCCTCCGAAAATAGTTGGGATTATAGGCCTACATCATCAGGCCTGGCTGGATAAGGAGAAATTTTTTTTTTAAGTTTTTCCTCTACCACTAGGGGGAACAAAAACCAAAAACATTCATTTGAATTGGCTTACTTGAAAGGTTTAACATTTTCTTTCATCTTTTTTATGTGGCTGTCTACTACAGTATCTCATAGCTAAAAAGTTTGGGTTATGATTTCCATTTTTTTAATTTTTAAAAATTTATTTTTATTTTTTATGTGTATGGGTGTATTGCCTGCATGTATTTAAGTGCACCCATGTTGTGCAATGCCTGTAGAGGTCAGAAGAGGGCGTCGGATCCCCTGGAACTAGAGTTACTGCAGTTATTACCCACCATGTGGGTGCTGGGATTTGAACCTGGGTCCTCTGTAAGAGTAGCCAGTGCTCTTAATGGCTGATCCAGCTCTCCAGCCCTATGATTTCAATTTTAGGTTCTTGATTTTTCCCTTAGGCCCAAGCTGAATCCTCTGCTTTTATGTAAAGTATAGACAACTGTATGGGCTGTGTTTTAAAATGATTCTTGCTTAGCATGTGTAATTAGTGAGTCTGCTGAGACCTAATGCCTCTCTGTGTTGTTTTTGATGTCAGATACTGGAAAACAAGCAATCTATAGAGAAGTTAAAGGATGTTATTTCAATGAATGCATCAGAACTTTCAGAGGTAAAACTACCCACATTTCCTATATGATATTAACACTGTTGTCTTAGTTCTGCTGTAGAGAAACTTGATGTGTGCTAAAATGTGCAAAAGTGAAAACTATATATTTGGTTGAGAAAATTTAACAGTTTTTCCTTTGGAATTAATGTTTTGCATTAGGTTCAGATTGCCCTTAATGAAGCCAAGCTCAGGGAGGAGAATGTAAAGTCTGAATGCCATCGGGTTCAAGAAGAAAATACTAGGCTCAAGAAGAAGAAGGAGCAGGTAAAGCAAGCGCCTCTGTGGGCGATGCAGTTCCTCTCAGTGAGCTTTTCTTAGGTGGTTTTTTGTTTTTTTTTTTGTCTTTTTGAGACAGGGTCTCCCTGTAGCCCCAGCTGTCCTAGAACTATGTAGACCAGGCTGGCCTCAAACTCACAGAGATCCGCTTGCCTCTGCCTCCCTAGTGCTGGGATTAAAGGCGTGCACCACCATGCCCGGCTTTCTCAGGTGTTTTTAAGGAAGGCAGTTCATGCTGGGTCTCGAGGTGTCAGTCATGTTCCAAGGCTGAGTGCATGTATGTGTCCTGAGTTTTCTGTACAGGTCATCATGGCCGTCAGGGTCTCTTCTTCACCAGTTATCCGGTCAGTTACTAACTTGAGTAGCCTCAAAAAAGCAGTAGTCTGGCTTTCTAGACCAAACAATGAACTATTTTATATAAGTCTTTCTTTAAGCAGTCCTTTCTTTACAATCAAGGGAAAGTTGTATGGCCAGGAGCTTGGAAGTAAATAATGTGAATTGCAGTAATTTTCTGAAGATGAAGTAATTGGGGTCAACCTCCTCGAGCACACAGATGTTCTTAATATAGCTCTGAGGGCTGGGACCACCCACCCCATTTCTTTAACTGAGGTTTTAGCTCCTAGTGACAGGCCAAGGAGAGCTTGGCTTCCTACTCCCCATCTCACATGGTCTGAGCCTTGGACAAAATCCCCTATGCCATAGGAACTCATGCTTTGTCTTTTCAGTTGCAGCAGCAGATTGAAGAATGGAGTAAATCTCATGCTGAGCTCAATGAACAAATCAAGTCATTTGAGAGGGCCCAGAAAGACTTAGAAGTGGCACTTACTCACAAAGATGACAATATTAATGTAAGTGTATTCTCACTCGTACATAATTAATCCCACGAATTCCTCTGATTTAAAATGAAGAGGCCTTCATGCCCTTTTGCTTCTTTCTTTTCTAGGCCTTGACTAATTGCATTACACAGTTGAATCGGTTAGAATGTGAGCTTGAATCTGAGGATCAAAATAAAGGACAGTCAGATGAATTAGCCAATGGAGAAGTGGGAGGTAAGATCAGTTTCAGGGCAGTTGGAGGCTATTCTTGCTTGCCCTCTTGGCTTGGATTCAGTACACTGATTCTACTTTTCTGTTGGCTGAGTTTCTTGTTAAGCTTTAGGGCTGTGGGCTCACATCACTGGGCTTGTAGATTTGGGCCAAGGTGGGTTACTGGGTGTAATGTAGCAGTAGCCAGGTAGGGAACACTGACTGTGTTTCCCTTTCCCTTTCAGAGTAAATTGTATATACTGCAACAGCCTCGGTCATCTCAGACCTCCAAGTATTGAACACAGTACAGCAGGAGAAACTTGTATCTCCTCTTTTTGGAGATAATTGGTTTTAATAATCATCATCTCCATAGCTCTGGCCTTGAGTGCTGAGGTAGTTAGCATCAGAACAGGCTGTGAGATAAGAAGCTGGGGTGTAGCAGGATGCTAGAGGTCAGCACGTTTACTGATGACATTATCTCCAGATGTTGTTTCTCAAGTTGAGTATTAATTGCACCAACCATGAGTGTTGGTACAACACCTGGCAGCAAATTCAGAAGAGAACAAAGGAATTAATTTCTTTAAATTTGGATCTCTTTAAAATCTTGACATTTGTTCAGATGAAGATTTGAGAGAGAAGGCATTCTGTCTTTATCAAAGATGACATTTTTATTTTACATGTGTGCATGTGTATATATATATATAAAATGCACATACGTATATGTGTGTGTGTGTGTGTGTGTGTGTGTGTGTGTGTATACACACTGAGTGTTTTTGATACAGGAACTCACTTTGGAAACCAGGCTGGCCTTGAACTCAGACATCCACCTGCCTTTGCCTCTCGGGTGATGGGACTAAAGGTGTGCGCCACCACACTTGACTGAAAGATGACATTTTTATTGTACCAACTGGAATTAACTTTTTAATCTAAATTTTCAGTTGTCTTTAAGTCAAACAGTCTAATCAGTTCTGTTGGTTAATTACTTTTGTTTTGTTTTTATAATGTTTGAATGTGGCCATTGTTCAGGGAAGTCAAGAAAACGTAGAGTTCAAAGGCAAGGGAAGAAAAGCAATTGAAGCCTTTTCTCTTGTAGGTGAGCGGAGTGAGAAGATAAAAAGCCAAATTAAGCAGATGATGGACGTGTCTCGGGTACAGTCCTTCCCATAGAGCTCCCTCAGTGCCCATGAACCCTTCCTTGCCTCCCTTTGAAGACGACCTCTCTCTTCTGTCATTTTTAGACACAAACTGCAGTCTCAGTAGTTGAAGAGGATCTAAAACTTTTACAACTTAAGCTAAGAGCCTCGATGTCCACAAAATGTAACCTGGAAGGTAGGTTCTGGGGACAAAATCACTGTACCCTGGGAGATGAAGCGGGTTCTTGCTTTTGTCCCTCTTGGTCCTCAGCCGCTGTCCTCCCCCTCCTGTCCAGTTCTCAAGCCTGTGCATACCTGCAGAGAAAACCGTTCTGCCCCTTACAGACCAAATCAAAAAGCTAGAAGATGACCGAGACTCACTGCAGACCGCTAAGGCTGGGCTAGAAGACGAGTGCAGAACACTGAGGCAGAAAGTGGAGATTCTCAATGAGCTCTACCAGCAGAAGGAGATGGCTCTGCAAAAGTAGGGTTTTCCACTCTCCAGCAATGCTGTCATCACTAAATGGGATTAATACAGAAAGTTTTCTGTCTTTTAGTGTGTTTTTTTCCATTTATAATTAGATCTTTGTTTCTTTGTGTTTTGTTTTCCATAACTTGCTTTTTCTTATGCCCATGTGTTTGTGGGTATGTGTATGTGTACACCTGTTAGTGTGGATAGGTGCATGTGTGCATACAGGTGCCTGTGTAAATATGTGCATCTTAAGTTGGATCTTTCTTATATCACTTTCGACCCTTATTTTTGGAGACCTTTTACTGACCTGAAGCCTATCAAGTCAGCTAGGCTGGCTGACCAGTGAGCTTCAGGGATCTGCCTGCCTCTGCTTCCCCCGTGTTGGGGTTATAGGAGTACACTGCCATACCTGGATTTTTGTGCAACAGTTTTTCCATGACAACATAAATAGATAATACCTTTTCCATGGTAGAAATAAGAGACGTCTCCCTTCTTTAGTGGTATTAATTTTTCCACAGGAAGGCGAGTGTCCATTAGCACAGGACACTTACAATGGCACATAGTGCTGTTTCCTTTTGTTTTATTTACTAGTGCTTAGGAAGTTATGGAAAGCTTAGAAAATCCAAATGGTTCACCAAGAAGTCAGTTTAACTTCCTAAATGGCAAGGAAAGGTTTGAATTTCTGTGACTTCTTATGCCAGCATTTTAAAGATGGGAAGTGACATTTGAGTGGAGAAAGCACATTGCTGTAAAATGGCTCACTTGGTGACTGGCTTTATCTTAGGAAACTGAGTCAAGAAGAGTATGAGCGGCAAGACCGAGAGCAGCGGCTGTCGGCTGCAGATGAAAAGGTGGTTTTGGCTGCAGAGGAAGTGAAAACCTACAAGTGAGTGCAGGTTCTGTGGCGGGTTGGGGTCATAGGCTTTGCTTTCTTTTTTCTTTTTTTTTTT